TTATATATGAAACTCCGGGTGTGTGTACTACAATTATATACGAAACTCCAGGAATGTGCTTTTACGAGTGCCTAACTTAATGTGCATTTGCCTAAAGTTAGTCCCAAGTCAGCTGACATGCACAGAATCATCATGCCTTAGTGTGTCTACATACGGATTAAGGCACTTCAGCTATTTGTACCTAAATTTGATACATGCTTTTGCAGCTATCAAATTTTAGGCGCGAATAGCCTAAAATTGCCATTTTTAAAGTCACAATAAAGGCACACACATGCAGACCCACGACCTTAATGAGCCTTAAAAATTGCTAAAGTACCTTAAATTGGCACTTGTAAACATGCCTTCCTTATCACGTTTTAGTTGCGAATTGGAAGCATATTTAATTATATGAAAATGATCTAAATAATTTCTACAGATTTTCTTCATACTAAACAAATAAAAATCAACAATGACCAAACAATTAGTTTTATATTGCAAGTTTACTCTGTTATTCCTTTTGGAGTAGAGCTGCTTTGCCATAGTATCTACTAATTTCTGCAGTACAGGAACAAAAAAAATTTCACTACTAGAGAAAAAAAGACCTTATTTCCACTGGCAGTATTGGTTAGAGCTTACAGTTAAAGCTTTTCAAAGCAGCTTCCAGCCCTTGATTTTTCCTATACAATCATTTAAGCCTGCAAGTATTTCAATACACTGGGTACACCTACTACACATGTAATTAATGGGAAGCAATAAACTCTGAAGCAGTTCAAGCCAGAGTAAACTACTCTGGGGCGCAATGTTTATAAATGTGCCTGGGACAGCAGTAATTTGAGCCAGAGTGGAGAAGGCCTGGACTGGTAGGAGACATGGGGGGTGAGAGAGGTCTGCCCTGAGCTCCGAGTGGCATTGTCAAGCAGCAGATGGGCTGGCTGCGCCACAAGAGTGTTGAAAGCACAGAGCTGTGTAGCTAAGCAGCAGGCAGGAGTATGGCACCCAGCTGGCTGGGTTGACTGGGTACAATTATACCTGCAGTCAGCATCTACACATGCTTTTAATCGCAGTAAATTACCCCGGCATTAAGACAGTACTGTTCCCAACAGTACTATCTTGCGCCGACATTAATTAGTTTACTATGGCCTAATACCTTGCAAGTGTAAACAGTTACACTTTAGTTTGCTGCTAATTAGTCTAGTCCACAGTAAAGCACACGTGTAGATACAGCTATTGTGTAGAAATATAAAACTATGCACCCAGGTAGGCCTCACCTCTGAAGTATACATTGTATTCTTTTGAAAATAAAAGAGCCATGGGATTTTGAAAACATAGTTCCTAAAGGCATTTGCAGTATTAGTTAAAGAATCTTTACTGGGCTTTAAAATTCATTTAAGTACACACATCAATCCTCCTCTCCAACCTTGCCTGTAAGCAAATCTCATTGAATGCTTTTTAGAGCTAAGCTATGGGCAAGCATCTTATTTTCTAAAATAAAGTAAATAAAATTGTGATTTTTAACCACATTTTTAATATGTAATGGAGGCTGTAACAGAAGATTCAGTTATATATAAACGAGAAATTAAAAATCACCTTATAACATTTCAAGAGGTTTTTCTGTCTGCCTTTAAGACATGAACAGTCATCTTTTCCCCCATTAGTAACTCTCCTTTGCCAGCTTGTGCATTTCTAAAAAGCCACAAAAGCCAACACTACACTTATGTACTTAGAACATACAAGGCTAACAAAATACACTCTAACAATACATGTATATTTCATATGCAAAATTTAAACATTTCCCAAGAAATTAGAAAGTTGGAAAATAGATAATGCCAACCCCCACCCCTCCACCCACCAAAAATCCAATGTTTAGGAACATACATGTCTTGCTAGTTTTCTCACGTATATAAAGAGGCTTCCCTGTCCCAAAAATTTTATTAGCACAAAATCCAAATTAAGTCCCATGAATGTTTAACTCTGCCTATGCACTTAATCTGATTTCTCTGCTTACAAACAAACACTTGCTATCAAGCATTTGGATCCATTTTTATTTTCTTCAGCTTTCAGCAGAGGTCATCTAAATTTAGAATAAATGTTCCCTCGTTGACGAACAGTAACTGGAAATAGGAAGACATTCTGTTTTGCTTAAGTAATAACTCCAGAGAAGCACCAGGACTAAAAACATATTAAGCAATTTTTAACTTGCCTTCAAGTTTTTGAAAAGGGTACTTTTCATCTAAAATTTAACCCTCTACACTAGAACCACTGAGGATTATCACTATTATAAACACATCTAAACATTAAGATGTTTTGGGGGGCTATTTCAGGTTAGCAATGGCAGCTAGCCAGCATAGAAATGATAGAAATGAGTTTGAAAAATAGATGCCCTGCTTAGCTGATCATTTCCTACATAACAGTCATACTCATCATTCAAAATGGACCTTCTAATACATACCAAAGCAGATAAAAAAAAGCTGTATGTTCTGTTAGAGGAGACAGAACATAAACTTTAGAACTTTTAAGTATCTGTGCTGGGTAAACAGACTTAACAGGTCAGACAGGGTTAAAACTGATCATCAGATCAGTTACTTCTCCAGGTGCAACTTGGGTCCCTGGCAAACATTACACTTAAGATGTGGTTAACCAGTTAACCACATCTTATGAGTCACCCCTGGCCACACGTTCATTCTATTAATGGTGCAATAAAACATGGAATAAGCCACAAAGTTGTTACACAAAATACATATTTTGTGTACATAACTTTGTGGCTCGTTCCCATTACATCTTAAACCAAATGTGTAGCCAGGCCAGTGAGCAAACTAGTGCTCACAGCCTCAGGAGTGCACTGCAGTTAAGGGCGCACACAGCATGGCAGAAGGTGCGACTATTGGGATTGTGGATAAGATCCCAATGAACCTTTAAATGAATGCCTGTAATGGGGTTAAGTGTCCAACTACCAATACCTGGCATGAAAGCAAAAGGGGTAGCAGATGGAGGTAAGGAATAGACTTGAAGTTCGTAACCCAGAGACAGAAAGAAACCATAAAATGAGACAGTACAAAAGAGGGATTATCATAGCATACCACTGGAAAAAATTTTCATTAATCAAGGAAAGAAAGCCCATGGAAGTAGCAAGCAATTGTTAAGAGTATATGTTAGCTGCTTAAAACAATGTCCTGGGACTGGAACCTGGAGAATATGGACCTGGGTTCCCCTAACTCCTTATCTTCAGGTGGAAAAATCTAGCCTTAAACATAAGAGGACATGGCCAAGTGAGCCCTCAGAACAAAAAGGGACTGAAAGCTGGGCACATATCTCACTACTGGGGTTGTGTGAAGCTCTGGCTCAAGAAGGACAAGACCAGAAATGCTGCTTTTACAGACCTACCCACAACAGAATGCTTCAATTCCTGACATCCATAGTCATTCATTCACAATGAAAAAAAGGTGAACATTCAGGACATTTTTACACCTACTGTAGGAGGGAGGCGTGTACTTTAATTAGAGTGCAGCACTGTCTCCTGTATCAGCATCCCTGCACTTCAAAATGGCACTGGGGATGCTTTAACTAAAGCTCATTGAAAGAGCTTCCTTGCCACTTTAGTTAGAGTGGCCCCATTGCCATTTTGAAGTACAGGGAGGCTGATACACAAGATGCAGAGGTTGGCTGCAGCATGCTAATTAGCATGCTCCAGCAGACTTGATTCATTGAAGAATCACGTCTGCTCAGACACGCTGCAATTACAGCACATCAGAGTAGACTCCCAGCATGTCTACAGACACCCTCAGGCATGAGTTTTCTTTTAAGACAGAACATCAATCTCCAGTTATTTAAGCAGTATACAGACTTTACCCCCATAAGTGTGTTATAAGTGTGACAATGCCATTCATAGATGCTGATGTGGCTTATGTCACTTTGGAAAGAAACGAAGAAAAGCAAGATCACTAGGAAACAAGTTAAAGATGGGGTAGTGAACACAAACTTAAGGATATAAGAATTTCCATAATGGGTTTTCATGGAGAATGCAGCTGAGAAACAGATTTTCACTATTCATTTTTTAAAAAGTCAAAAGGTGCACATTAGATTCAACATCTAACTATCATCTGAGTAAATAATAGGGTAGAACAGACACTGAAACAGAAATAATTAGTACACAAGATCATTCAACAACACAACAAAAAACAGAGAACTTGATTTCAGAAGTTAGGGAACAATTCAACTACTGGTAGTTCAATCTCAAATGGCACAACAGCAATTTATAGCAGACAGCTACAAATCGCCTTGAAATGGCATAATTTCTGTAGTATATGGAAAATGCCAACTAGTGTACAAAAACTATTCACAGTCTTCAAACCAGAAATGTAAATATAGAAGCATTTGTATCCAAGTAGGTGTTCACTAGCTTATGCTACCCTTCTTGTCCAGGGCCACTTACCTTGTAATGGAATTAGCCTGTACCCACAAAACCCTTACAAATCGCATAAATAGTTCTCAGAAAAACACCCAAGAAAAATCCAGCTATTTATTGCGTAATGCATACAAGTTCTTCCACTTCAACTAACACTACATTAATAAAAAAATCTTTCCATTCAAAGACTTGTATGATCTAATATACAGTACTTGTATATTTACCAGACTTCCTTCTTAGCTATAATTAAATTAAAATGGACTCTTCTGCAAAGTTTAATACCTTATGTTAAAAATAACATTTGTTTCTATATGCTGAAATCTACAGAAGGACTAACATTTAAGCACAGATCACTGATAACAAAAAAATCTATTCCGTACCCAGCAGGTAGAGTTTGCACTGTACACAAGACACTGAAAAGTCCAGCTATCATCACAGATTAGCAATGCAGAAGCCATTTCAGCTGCTTTTTCATTCAATAAAATTCTCCCTATCCCTTCTCCAAACCTACCCTCTTTCTTCTTGAGAACAGTATTTAAACCCTGATAATCCAAAATGAAACAATTCTTAGAAGTGACAGACTGCGACTCAATGAAAGGAGGATTGTTTTATATCTCACCTCAAGCAAAGCAGCTGCAGGATCTCCTTGCAGACTCTTTCCCAGTTTATCAACCTCATCTAACAGGAACACTGGATTGTTAACCCCAACAGTCTTCAAGCCATTGATTATTCGGCCAGGCATACTGCCAACATAGGTACGCCTATGAGAAACAAATGGAAAAGAGTCTGGAGCGTGAAAGGGAAGGGGGAACAGTAAAAACTAAAGATCAAAGAAGCAAACATAAGAATAAACTGCCTTATAGCAAACTTGTATAAAACCCAACTGCTTCAACTAATGGGGAAAAAAAAAAAAAAAAAAAAAAAAAAATTCATGCTTTCACTGCTTAATATATGTAACTTATTGTAGCTAATAAAAGATGAGGTTCCAGCCCCTCACTGAAACATTTGGTCCAGGTCGAGAACGCATGCCTAAAATTCACAGGGTATAACCATTACATGCAGTTGTAAGGATGTCCCCCTTCCCTCCGCCTTCTGTTCGACAATGAGGCCCCTGACAGATGTTAAAGTAAAGGTGCAATGGGATCTGATGTGGGATCCCAATAATTAAGCTTCCTGTCATGCCACATGCATGGCAGGAGGCATGACTGTGGGATCCCACATCAGATACAACTGAACCATATTGCTGGTGCTGGGGGAGCCTGACCTCAGTAATTAGCTACACTCCCAGGGTGCCATATACTCCCCTAGCTGGGAACTCCAGTCTGCTGACTAGGGCTACCAGCTGCAGAGTGCAGTCTCCAGCTAGAAGCCCTGATCAGCTGAGGGGACTCCCAGCCCCTGGAGCCCAGTCTTGAAAGGCTCCCCTATGCTCCACAGGCTGGGCACTGGCCACATGCTGAATTAAAGGTCTGATAGGAAACCAGTCACAAAGTCACATATTTTGAGTAATAATGTTGTTGTTCATTCCTCATTTTATCATGCCATTAATTGACTGAACTCGTGACCACGTCACTAAAGACATGATTAACCAGTTAATCACATCTTAAGTGTAACATCTGTCAGAGGCCTAAGAAACAGATTTCAGAACTTTGTATCATTCTTTAAGGTTTAAGGACCTAAAGAATAATGTACACTGTTACACTGACAAAAACAAGAGCATGTGATACAGTCCAGTAATGAAGTGAGGGCAGCATTCTACATGTACATTGTGATGCCTAATGCAGGTGGCTACATCCTTAAACTGGCATCAAGTCAAAAGAATTTCCATTAATTTCTGGTCAGATGTTATAAAACATTACAAAAAGTTAAATTAAATTAGAATAGCGTACATGGAATGAAAAAACCCCTTTCTATTTAGGAACGCAAGTATTTTTTTTATAGTGCAGCTAAGGGAATTATGATCTATATACATGCACACACATCCTGCTTCTGAATTTATCAGCCTTTCTACTTGTTCTATAGGCAGATTCAATATTGAAGGTAAAAAGGAGAAAATGCTGATGGCTTAGAAGAAACTGATACATGATGTGCTGAACTGAAGTAGCTCTCTCATGACCCCCACAAAATAGATATGCAGAACAGGCCTAAATGCCTTGTCACATGATCTGCATTACGCTGGCCAGAATAAACAGGATGACCTTTGGAGAGATGCATCTTAAAAACCATGGGAATAGTTTTAAAGCTACTGACAGCAACTGGAATTCTTTGAACCAAAGAGCAACTAGCACCACATCCTATGAGATTGTTAGAGTCTATATTATAATTATCGGAAGGAGAAAATATGATTCTATAATTACTTAAGGCATGTGCAAGGTTATAAATGTTATAACAGGTTAACTGCTATTCTGTAGGCTCAGTATCTGCTGCATATATTCAGGCTCTTTAATCTTGGAAGAAAGAGAGAACTGCATAGACTGAGATTACAGTTCGTCAAGACCCAAAGGCTGTGGTAAAAAAAGATTAACATGGAAGCATCTATAAATACTTATGATAACTCAGCTTTATCACCATCTTAACAAGTGCTGCTTTACGAGTCCCAGGAAGTGCGCGTCCTGAAGAGACAACAGAAGAAAACAGGCAAAAAGAAATGACCTTAAGCAAAAACCATAATGAAAATATTTTGTATCAGTTCATCAGTCTATAAACCCAAGACTTTGAATGAAAACTCTGGTAGTTGCACAGGGGACTTGCTTCTGTCTCTCCTTAAGTAGGTCTAGAGCTCAGAAAGGGTAAAATGGATAACATGGGCCTCATGAGCTATTCAGGGGATGTAGGATCCTGTTACTGCTCAAAACTTTTAGGTATAGGTGAGCCTGTGGCAATGCAAATGCAGCAAAACTGTTTCAATTTCAACTTTGCTTCATCCAGCATCAAAATGAGGTACATTCAGTTCATTTGTATTACAGGATCACTCAGACGCAGCAGTTACAGTATAACAGCAGCTGTGAGCTCCTAGGTGACAACTCTCCCTTCCCTTTTAAAGTGGCTACAAACTAAGTTTGTGTACAACAAATGCTGGTACCTAAGTCTCAAATCAGCAGGGCACTCAAACACATGCAGAAGTCCCACAGGACCAAGGTCTAAATGCTGAATGGTTGGATAGGTGTCCCATTAAGTTTTATAACCTGTATTTCACAACTACTCCTTTCTTCACCACTACTTTTTTAACAATCTTTAAGCATGCTGAATTAGTTCATTAACTTCAACACAGCTGTTTCTAATCAGTGTATTAAATTCCAACTTAAAACATACTTGCATTTATTTACATAATTTGATCAGTTAACGTGAAAGACTGCTTAAATTTACAGCCTAAATTTAACAGATACATGGATATCAATTTACTCTTTGCATGCATTATTAGCTTTCCATAGAGAAAAGTAGATAGTCTATACTTCTGTGCCACAAACTGCCATCATTACAACTGGACTACCCAAGCTGGTTTTTTTACTGTATTGACTTGACAGACATGAGACCTAGAAGGCTGACAGGTCATACTAGCTGTGCAAGATGTTAATACAGAAAGATAGAGAACAAAGGCATTACAGAAACTAAACGTGGTATTGCAGAAAGATAAACAGCTCAACAGTACTTTTTTAATTGCAAATATGAAATAGATGCCCTTATCTTTTATAGATATAACTCGCAAAAACCTCATACCTGGGTAAGTTCTTTGCCATATATGTACCATATGGCCAAACAAGCCTTTCAAAGGTTTGTGCTACAAATTATTTACATATGTAACTTTGCTCATATAAACAGTCTTAAGGAAAACTAATGTAGTCAAGTTGCTCACATACATGATTGTTTGTAGGATAAAACCTTTAACCTTTGCTAGTTGGTCTACATGTTTTTCATGATGGTCTTCTGGGTACACTTTTGCAGGAGTGGTGGTAGCTGGACGCAGAGCAGGGTGGGGCTTGCACGTCGCAGCAGCGTGGGGTGGTGGATGGTGGCAAAGGCCGCCTCATGTGAGCTCCCTCCCACATCCAACCAGCCCCTGTGCAGCCCACAGTGGGGAGTCACCACTCTTGTCCTCCCTCTATCCCCCACTCCTGGTAGGCGGCAGCGCGGGGTGCTGGATGGTGGCACTCCATCCCTACCCGCCCCTCCTAGCCCCTTTCAAAGTACTCCTGGGGGTACATGTACCCCCAGTTGACAACCCGTTGTAGAGTGTGTCTACACAAGGACAGTTCTCCCTAGTATAAAGGTGCTCAACCCCCAGCCCATGGACCAGTTCTGGCCAATGGAGTTGCGTCTTCTGGCCCACAGGGCTCCCCACAGATCTGAAAATGTGATGGTGAGGGAGTGGAGGCAGCATTAATTGTCACTCCCCTGCTGCCAAATGTCCATAAGGAGCCCTGCAGGCTGGACAGCATGCCACTGTGTTCTAGATTGGGATGCAGTGTTGGAGTGGCACAGGGCAAGATCCAAGTAGCTCAGGGCTCAATTCAGGCTGCACAGGACCCAACCCTGTGTCCCACCCCCATAGACTGGCTCCATACCACTCACCCAGTTTGTGGGGCCAAACAGTTAAGCACCACTGCTCTAGCACCATCCACGGTGAAAACATGTCCAGTTCTTCCTGCTTCTACGCATGCCTCATGGCAGAAGAATACCACATAGTAAGTGTTGACACAGACACAGGGCACACCCACTACCAGTCCAACCATGGCAACATGTTTTCCATATGCAGTGCACACAGAACAGGAACAAGCAAAAGGGGCATGCTTTCAGCGCAGTGCTCCCTAGCACAGTGTGTAGAAGATATGGCTCATGGTTAAATCTCCTCTGAAACTTGCATCTCTGAAATACGATGACAGGCCTGAATCTTCCCTGACTCAGCACTTTTATATTAGTGCAAATCCTGAACTGCAGAGCTTAATTCCTAATTGACATTGGTAGGAGGGGAAATTGGGGGCTCTATCCACACATTACACACGCCACTTTGTGATCTTGTTTCTCTGACACACTCTTTCAAAACCTGGAAACAGAACATGTACCTTGCTGTTTAAAATGCACTTACAGTTCCTGGGGATCTCTCACTAGTACAATAAATAATAATAAACCTTAGAACATATTCCTCAGAATGTCTGAAACTAAAGGATTTATTTACAAATATGTCTGGTTAAAAAAAATCCTTAAGACCAAAAAACTTACTATGTAAGATTTATTATTGACAAATGCTGGTCTCATTATCCTCGTATGTGTTCTCTATCCTGCTAAGTATTTATTCATGTCTACAGCACCAAATATAGAGCAACTTTAAGGAACATGATATTACCATTCAAAGCAAAGCATCATTCTACTCTTGAAAGTCTTCTACATATGGTTTTGAAGACAGTAAATGTATTAAAGTGCTCTTACCAACAGGATTGCTCCCATTCAGGTATATGGTTCAGTAGAAGATTTAACTATTACAAAAGGAAACAGTAAGTTTTGCAGGCAACTTAAGATTTAAAGTAGTAACAAAGATATAAACATGTTACCAGAACAGATTTAGTAGACTGCTGGATAGAGATGTATTTTTATTTTTAAGGTTTGTGGCAGACTACTGTGAAAAGTTTAATCAGGTTTAATCAGACACACACAGCTGCTTGCAAAATTTGTTTTAATTTCACCCACTCTGCCCAAGATGATACAGTATTATTGGGGTGGGGGGGAAGAGTATAACAGTGTTTTGCCAAAAATGCCTGCCCCAGTG